GGGGTCATATGATTGTTGGGTTTTTCTCTGTATCTATGAAGCGCCTTGAGGTGACTTTTGTTGTGATTTGGCGCTATATAAATAAAATTGAATTGAATTGAGTAGCACTTCACAATACTCCTATGGAGATAACAACATGGGATATTGTTACTCTGCCTGGTATCAGGGTTACCGGGGCCTTATCCCTCAAAGCAGGGTTTTAGGGAGAGTGTCTGGTAGTCAGACCTTAACCAATGGTGACCAAACAGATGGAGCCCAAAGAAGCTGATGATGAAGCACTGAAAAATCACTGTACAGCTAGGCCCATATATTTGTGCACTGGCACAAGTTTTGTCTTTTTTTCTGTTTACTGAAACATATTCCAGTTATGTTAAATAATGGACATGGACTTACTGTGCAGACTCTCAGCTTTGATTTGAGGGCATCCACATTCAAACTGGATGACGTGTTTAGGAGTTTCAGCTCCTCAACATGTGTCATCTTCTAATTGGACAACTGTCTCAAATGCTCTTTCATGGGCAGGTGTGGGCAGTTCCTTTGTTATGTCATTATCGATTAAGCAGATAAAAAGCCTGGAGTTGATTTGAGGTGTGGTGCTTGCATTTGGAAGATTTTGCTGTGAACAGACAAAATGTGGTCAAAGGAGCGCTCTGTGCAGGTGAAACAAGCCATCCTTAAACTGCAGAAATAAAACAAAAAACACATCTAAGAATTTGCTACAATAGTAGGAGCGGCAAAATCTACAGTTTGGTGAATCCTAAGAAAGAAAGAGAGCACTTGTAAACTCAGCAACGCAAAAAGAAAGATGACCATGGAAGTCACAGCGGTAGATGATCACAGAATCATTTCCAAGGTCAAGGGAAACCTCTTCACAGCAGCCAACCAAGTGAACAATACTCTCCAGAAGGTAGGCGTGTAGATATACAAGTCTACCATAAAGAGAAGACTACATGAAAGTAAATACAGAGGGTTCACTGCAAGGTCCAAGACACTCATAAGCCTCAAGAACAGAAAGCCTGGATCAGACTTTGCTAAAAATAAATAAATAAAAATCAAAAAAAGCCAGCA